CCAGAGGAGAAGGTGTTGGCACCCCCAGGCCTGAAGGAGAGGGTCTCGAGTGATAAGAGCCACCTGTTCACAGGGAAGTTGGGCCACCCAGAGCAGCCACACTGTAGTAGGAAGAGCACAGGGGTAGCAAATGCCCAGACTGTCTATGCCCAGCAGAAGACAGCTGGCAGGGGAGCCCATTGTAGAGTGGCCCAGGACAAAGGACAGCAACCAGCATTCCACCTGACAGAGCTATGGGGAACGGAGGTACCCGGGGCCTGTTTCACACATGTGGCTTGACTGTGGTGTCCCTGGGAGGCCTGCACAGGGATAGCCCACCCTCCTAATCAGGCCCCTCTGCCTCTCTTCTAGCAGGGAAGCTGGAGGCCAAGGCTGCACTAAACCAAGCCCTGGAGATGAAACGCCAGGGCAAGAGGGAGAAAGCCCACAAGCTCTTCCTGCATGCCCTCAAGATGGACCCTGGCTTTGTAGACGCTCTCAACGAATTTGGCATCTTCTCGGAAGAAGACAAGGACATCATCCAGGCGGATTACCTCTTCACCAGGGCCCTGACCATTTCACCCTTCCACGAGAAAGCGCTGGTCAACCGGGACCGGACGCTACCCCTCGTTGAGGAGATAGACCAGAGGTACTTCAGCGTCATCGACAGCAAAGTGAAGAAGGTCATGTCGATCCCTAAGGGGAGCTCGGCCCTGCGCAGGGTCATGGAGGAGACCTACTACCATCATATCTACCACACGGTGGCCATCGAGGGCAACACGCTCACTCTCTCAGAGATCCGGCACATCCTGGAGACGCGTTACGCAGTGCCAGGGAAGAGCCTGGAGGAGCAAAACGAGGTCATCGGCATGCATGCGGCCATGAAGTACATCAACACCACCCTGGTCTCCCGCATCGGGTCTGTCACCATCGATGACATGCTGGAGATCCACAGGAGGGTACTGGGGTACGTGGACCCAGTGGAGGCGGGCAGGTTTCGGAGGACCCAGGTCCTGGTGGGACACCACATCCCACCCCACCCCCGCGACGTGGAGAAGCAGATGCAGGAGTTCACACAGTGGCTTAACTCCGAGGACGCCATGAACCTGCACCCGGTCGAGTTTGCGGCCCTAGCCCATTACAAACTGGTGTACATCCACCCTTTCATCGACGGCAACGGAAGGACCTCCCGCCTGCTGATGAACCTGATCCTGATGCAGGCGGGGTACCCGCCCATCACTATCCGCAAGGAACAGAGGTCCGAGTACTACCACGTGTTGGAAGTCGCCAACGAGGGTGACGTGCGGCCTTTCATCCGCTTCATAGCCAAGTGTACGGAAGTCACGCTGGACACGTTGCTCCTTGCTACCACTGAGTACGCGGTGGCGCTGCCCGAAGCCCAGCCCAACCATTCTGGGTTCAAGGAGACGCTTCCTGTGAGGCCCTAACCGCCGGCCCTCCCTTGGCATCCTTTCTAGAAACAGTTCTCCCCAGTAGCAAAAGGAAACCCTTAAACATTCTTTACCTCCAGATGTTTTTCAGTTGAGAAAGAAAACTAAATTATTAAGCCTGTCATTAGTATAATTTATAGTTCAGCCAAGTTATTTATTTAATTTTTTTTAACTTTTTTTTGGTGAGCTAGCAGCACCAAGTGGTACTACGACCACTACACCTGTGGTGATCCTGGCACCCAGTAGGGCAGCAGTGCTTTTCTGATGTCCTGGGCCTGGGTGTCTACACAGAATTTGCACTAAGGGTGGAGGCAGGGAGCCAGATCTGTGGGACAGAGCCCAGGGCCACAGGGATCACTCAGATGCCTTTGGGGTCCTGTGACTTCAGGTTGACCTCTGCCACCTTGGGCAGAACCTGCCCTGTGCTGAGGCAGGCTTTCATTCCTGAGAGGCTGTGGCGGCCGCTTCTACCGGCAGTGCAGCCCTTTGACATGGGAGGCAGATGTTGCCATCTCCAGTAGGAGACTGCAGATAGCCAAAGACCCTCCGAAACATTAACTTGCTAACCTGAGTTCCATGGGATGGTATTTCCCTACCCAGACTGTTCTGACGGTGGAGAGCAGGCAGCAGGCCTTTTCCTTATCTTTGTCCTGTACTTCACTTGCTATCAACTGAGGCTAAAAGTTCTCCAAGCTTGCCCACCTACCCCATGACTCCACAGAGGGGGTCTGCCTTCACCTCCCACTCAGTCTTCTGAGGACCTGGAGGTGAGGTGAGGCGACAGAATGTACCCAGTATGCACCACACAAGGTACCTTCCCTAACATTACAAAATGTATCTGAGATACCACATCAACCCCAAATAAGCAGTTCTGATAAAAGAATTAAAATGAGTAAATACCCATGACCACAGCCAGGCCTCTCCCCTTTTGTCCCGTGGTTTGAAACCCTCTTCCCCTCTGATGGCATCACAGGGTAGGGTGTCCCCACGGGTAGATAGACTGCCTTGGAGTGACCTTCTTCTCCTAACTTGTAAAGCAATGGTGTCATGTCTGATAGACACATGTCCAAGTTGTCATCTTAGAAAAAATAAACTTTTTTCAATCATACTTATGGCTAAGTGCCAATCTGATTGCTGCTAAGAGTCTTACTGGCTAAGTCACTGGATTTCGTTCTGACAGCCCGCGGTGTCCCGGCCCACTGCACTTTGTCTTCGTTTGAATGGTAAACGCGTAGTACCAGCCGCCAAGCGATGTATCCAGCATTTAGAAAGATACACGGGCAGTTTTCTGACAGACTGAGAAAAATAGGTGAAATAAACCCAGATGTGTGCGTGCAGTGTCGCCAACAGTTCTGCAGGCACGCGGCCACAGCTGTCCCCGGCACAGCACTGCATGCAAGTGCAGCCCCAAGCTCCCGGCTCTCCTCTGTACACAAATCTCACAGGAGGCTCGCTTTGTCCTGTAGTGAGAACCTGCACTTTAGCTACATGTGAAAAATATTATTTTAACAAATTCTTGGTTCTAATAAAATATTTTATTACATGCTGTGTTGTCTTATCCAGGACTTCCGCCCCCATGTTCCAGAGCAGCTCGGAGACTGCCTTCCTGGCTTCACGGGTCGAGTTTTTTTTTAACATGTGCTTATTGTGCGTAGCATATGAACAGACATCAGGCCAGCTTGGAGCGGTTGGTTCCTTCCACCCGCCACGTGGGACAGAGCTTTTCCTGGCTGGTAGGCTTCCAACAGACACCTGCCCCTGCTTCATCCTTGTGCCTGGTCTGAGTTAAATTTACTAAGTTTTTACCCACATTTAAAATGATTCTGTGGGCCCTTGCTGGCGTGTGGACTCAGCTGTGTCATGACGCCCGTGGAGAGCATGAAGTCTTACCTGCGTACTGGCCACCAGTGAGAGAATCAGGCAGTTTCTGTAACACAAGCAGGGAAGTCGCATGAACCCAGTGGGATTAGCTCAGGACCGGTCTTCCTAATAAACCCACAGACATGCTACCTCATAGACCCACCCAGGAGGAGCCCATGCCACAGGGAGGTCCCAGTAATCCACAGTTGTCATCTAATAGAGAGGTCTCTGTTATATAATAAAGATGGAGGGGAATCTGCATTGAAAATGATGACACTGATAGGGTGAACTAAAGCAAGGTTTACCAAACAGGAGCTGAACTTGGGCTAGGTTCCCACGGCACGAAATGTACTGCTGTGTGTGTTGCCTGGGAGACAGCTGTAGGGTGGCTGGGGACTACACCACTGTCTGGAAAGGAGCGGTGGGCAGACACCAAGAAAGGAGAGGCAGGAGAGGAATGTCGAGAGCTCCCGGACACACACGGTCCCAACTACACTTAAAAATGTTAAGGGGCTGGAAAGATGACCCAGCTGCTGGGAGCCCTGGCTGCTCACTCAGGGGACCTAGGTTCCCAGCAGTGCCAGCATCCAAATGGCAGCTCACACCCACCTGGAACTCCAGACCCACAGGATCCGTCCTCTGAACTCCACGGCAGCCAGGCATGCAGGTGCTGCTCACACACACATGCAGGGAAAACCCATAAATCATTTTTTAAATAAGTTTAAAAATGTTCATAAAAAAAAAAAAAAACCACTTCGGGCTGGGCAGATGGCTTACCAGGTGACAGCCTTACACAAGGCAGCCTAAGCCACCCCGAGGCCCCACAGTGGAGGAGAGAGCCAACTCCTCAAAGCTGTCTTCTGATGTCCACAAGCACAACACAGCAGTCACACACACATGAAATCTTTAAAAATGTGTCTAGCCGGGCGGTGGTGGCGCACGCCTTTAATCCCAGCACTTGGGAGGCAGAGGCAGGCGGATTTCTGAGTTCGAGGCCAGCCTGGTCTACAGAGTGAGTTCAGGACAGCCAGGGCTAAAAAGAACTTTCTTTAAAAACGATTCTAACGTGGGACAGCCAGAGAGATGCCCAGCGGTTATGAGGACTCGCTGCTCGTGCAGAGGACCGGGCTTTAGTTCCCAACAGCTGCAGGAGATCCAGCGATGCACTCTTCTGGGTTCTACACATGGCACACACACAGACACATAAAAATCTTTCTTCCAAATTTTTAAATGTAGGCTGACGGCTACAGTGCAGAGAACGGGCCGAGCTTGCACAAGGCCTCGGTTCCATTGCTAACACCTAAACAAACATCAAGGAAAGCATGACTGACTCCCAGGCACACAACACACACAGCCGGTGTCCAGCCAGCATGCGTGCACGGCTCCCTCACACTTCCCTCCAGAGTGCTTTCATACAGCGAGTCCTTTCCCCACCACCCTCCCTGCCCTTGCTGAAGGGCTTTCAGGGCAGAAACTCCATGTTGTAAGGTGAGAGGTAAAATCTTCCCAGCAGTGTCAGGCTGCCGGAAACTCCAGTCTATCACTGCGGAATCATGTTCAGCGACACAACTGACTTTGCACAAGCTGTTAACACAGCTGAGGAAAAACAGGTGCAACATGTGACACCCACACACGCAGCCGCAATGCACACACGCGCGTGTGCACACACCCACACATAAAGAACACACACCCAGTTGCAATGCACAAGGCTTCTGTAAGAACTTCAGTTTAATAAACAAAACTAAATGGGGAACTCAACTGTGCACTAGACATAGCGTTTAGACATGAGTGTTTGAACGGAGGGCTTAGGTCTCCGGTCATCAGGCAAAGGGACTGGTCCAGAGTGGGCGGGGCACACAACTCCTATGAACAAATGTCACAGTCCACTTTTAAGGAACATAAAACAGTCCAAGTGTCAATTACAAATACATAATAAAAAAACTCATAGCGTCTTTGGACAAAAACCCATCAAGCGTGTCTTCTGTGATGTCCCACACGTCACCAGCAGGCCGCCCTGACGAGGGACAAGCTCTTCCAGCCCATCTTTCACTAAAGAGTGACGGGCACACGTGCTGTGCAGGGCCGGGGAGGGGGTTCGTAGAAAAAGGGCCCAAGGCGATCAAAGTATCAGGACAAGTGGGCCTCGAAAGCCAAGTCTCTCCTTGTTAGGACACTAACGTACCTTGGGACAGCCCGTAGAGCGGTCGGCCTCCGCCCTCAATGTGAGGGAACATTCCTTCCCGCCATGCTCCACGTGGTTTCTCCCTTCCCATCTACCCAGAGGAGCAGGAGTGGGAGCCCAGCCTGCCTGTCTCCAGGACCCGGAGCAGCCAGCCGGAGTAGGTAAGGCCCGGCCAGCGCGTCCAGCCCGGCAGCCCGCAGGAATAGGTAAGGCATTTCCTGTCTCAAAGTCCTGTTCACTTTCTCAGAAGCAACTTCGCAAAATCCGCATTGGACATCTTAGGAGGCTCGGTGGCCACAGACGCGGTGACTGCCAGCCCCGGAGCTGGGCCGTTCTCAGCCTGAGGAGCGGCACCCTGGCGTTGCAGAGCTCGAGGAAGAAGAGCGAGCTGGGTCCTTCCCTTCCCACGCCTGAAAGAGCAAACATAACAATCCCTGGCAGCACAGACTCATGGCCCCTCTGGACTGAGGTGCTGGGATCGTCAGGCCAAGTGAGACGACACACCAAGAAAAGAGCACAGGGACCACGAGGCACTTCTCCCATCTAGAAAGTGAGGGACACTTGAACAAGCCTCCTTCCCTAAAGTTCTGATATGAGCACCCCCACGCCAAGTCCGGAGGTGACAAAAATGGCTGCCATTTCTCCAACCTCAAAGAACCTAGAACTGTCAGTTCCTTCTACCAGGGAGCAAAGCAGCACAGCCTCATGGAGTGACACTGCCCTGTAGACTGCCAACCCTGTCTTGGGACCAAGCAGGCTCCAGTTCTGGTTTAGGCATGGAAACCGCCAAAACAGCACTGCCTCGGGGCTCGCCAGACAGACGCCTGTGATCCCAGCTCTGGAAGAGGCTAAAACCCCGGTTCAAAATGTCAAAATCTAAGCGTGCAGCTGTGCTGGTTAGGTTACTGTTAACTTGAGACATGCTAGGACCATCTGGGAAGACAGAACCTCGATCAAGAAAATGCCTCCCCCAGATTAAGCCCTTGTGCAAGTCAGCAGAACGCTTTTAGTGATGGATGAAGGAGGTTCCGGTCCCTGAGGGCAGGGCCTTCCCCGGGCAGGGCGTAGTCCTGGGTTCTGTGAGAAAAGCAGGCTGGGGCCAGAGAGAAGAGCATCTGCGGCTCTCCCAGGACTGGAGTCCTGGGACCAGCACCCAACAGAGGATGGCTCTTAGTTACAGTTCTGCCTCCCCAGGCACGCCCGTCCTCCCTGTGTGTGGACAGACATTAATGCAGGAAAACACTCAGACACATACAGATAAAGACAACAATATTAAAGAAGAAAAAGCAGACAGGCAGGCAGGCAGGCAGGCAGAGGGGCTGGAGAGACGGCTCAGGGCTAAGGGCACTGGCCGCCCCTGCAGAGGACCCAGGATAGACTCCCCACATCCACAAGGTACTGACGACCATCTCTAACTCCAGTTCTAGGGGATCTGATGCTCTCTTTCGGCCTCTGTGGACCCTGCACACATGTGGTACGCAGACAAGATACTTGTAACATATATGTAAGTAACAAAAGAAGTGTAAGCAAGCAAGCTGGGTAAGGCGTGGTGAGCCAGCCAGCAAGCCCTTCTGCGGGAGCTCCTGGCTTGCCTTCCTCTGATGATGGACTGACCATGTAGGTGGTTCACCAAGTAAACCCTTTCTTCCCCAGGGTCTTTATCCAGGACCAGAAACCTAACACTTGCCTAGCACTCACAAGGCCCTGGCGGACCAGCGGACACACAGCATTCGGCCAGGGCCGCATCCCTTTGGAGACTTGCTATGCACATCTCGGCCAGTGAAACCAAAGACCACACTCAGAGCAGCAGGTCCTGGCTCTTCTAACCAAACTCACCCACCCCTCCAGACATGACTCTGTCCCTCAGCAATGGTAGACAAATCTCCACAAAACAGCAGCAGCACTTACGATCCGTACATCTGCCGGGGAACCATGGGGGCCCCTGGTGCTGTCCTCCCTTCTGGCTTCTCCGGAACTTTCCGCTGAGGGGGATTGCTGATTGCCACCTTGATGACATTCTCTTTGATGGTCATACCGTCCATCTTCATCACTGCCTGTGACGCCTGCGACTCACTTTCATATTCCACATACGCCAGGCCCTAAGACACACAGTGCCGAGCCAAGTCAGGAGAGCACCCATCAGCAAGCAACTCCGTGCCACTGGCCGTCCTGGCTACACATGCACCCCTCGACTAACTGTTTGACTGGTGCTGTCACTGACTAAAATCTGAAAAGCCTTTCTCTCATGCCTCACACACTGCTCGCCCCAAAGAAAGACCCCGTTAGTAAGCCCAGCAAACACAGCATGGGTTGGAGGAGGCGGGAGCAGACCCTGTGGGTCACTGTTCTCGGCTGCTTTCTGTCGCTCTCCCACTCGACAACCTGACTCAGGGCTTGAAAGGTGGACCCACCTCCAGCGACAGGCCCACGGTCTGCCTGTCCTCTCACCTTTGGCTTGCCAGCCCTGTTGGTGACCAGCCTGAGGTCCTTCACCGTGCCGTGAGCCTTACAAATGCCCTCCAGTTCCTCTTTGGTGCAGGAAAAGGGCAGGCCCGAGATGAAGAGCTTGTGTTTCTCCAGGGTAGTACTGTATCTGAACACCTACAAAAGAGGGAGAGCCCACGGGAGGATGGAGCAGAGACGTCGGAGCCACAGCTGGTCTCAGAGACGTACGTGACAAAGTCACCTGGGCACAGGTGAGGGTCACTCTCCCCACCCTCTCAAGCACCCAAAGGAAAGCTGCCATCTCTCCAAACGCTAACTAGGGTCATCACCAATCAAGAGGTGGCGGCTCAAAGCGACGAAGCCGGGAGGCAGCCCGAGCTTCTCACGAGCAAGGCTGATGCCAACAAACAGGCCTGGTGGGCTCCAGACGCTGGGCACTGCCTATCTAGCAGCCCACCCTAAAGACATCCTTCTTCAAAAAACATACCTTGAAATCGGGGTTTTTGCTCTTATCCACACAGGGGGACACAAACATCGGCCTTCCCTCCACATTCTTCCTGTCCAGCTCCAGGGCCTGCCGGGCTGACTTCTCCTCTTTAAACTCTACATAGCAGTAGCCCCGGAAGTCCCCACGGTTGCTGAAGATCGGCCTGATCTGGACCACCTCCCCACAGGCCTCGAAGAGCGGCCTGAGCGTCCCCTCGGGCTCCTCGATGCTGTAGGGCAGGTTGCTGACAAAGACGGTGACACTGTCCTTGCTGCTGTCGTGAGCCACCTTGGGCATGTCCCGCTTAAGGGAGGCTGCCTTCTCTTTCTGCTTGGAAGGAGGAGCAACATCTATCGTCAAGCATTTCCCAGAGACTTCTGTTTCTTCCTCCATAGCTGAAGCCGCTCCAGAGGCCAAACTGTTGTCCGTCCTTCTGCGTTTGGAAGGCTGCTCTGTAGGCATTCAGGAGAGAAGCAGAGGCAGTCAGCCAGGTCTGCACTCTGTCAGCATCGGGCATGGCCCACCACAAACCAACTGTACCGTGGACACAGGAGAACCACCACCACGCCCCACAGTGTGGGCCCAATTACCCTCCAACAAAGGTTACATCAGTGAAACCAAGAACTTAAATGCCCACTGTCCGGTCATCACTGCAGAGTCAAGAGTCCCACACCCGTCAGCAGAATGCAGAGCCCCTCTCCCTCATCCCCAAGTCAGCCGTGAAGAACGGGACTGGGAAGCCTGCAGGTGACTGCCACACACATGCATTTTCAGTGCTGTCCAGAGCCCTTCTGTATCCGGCCAGAGGACATACATGGCTGGGCCTGGATGGCCTCCACCACTGCCTCAAGGAGAAGCGAGCGACTCAGGGCTCACACACAGATCATTAATGTTCAACTGGGTCTTTAGCACAGAGTCACTGCGGGGAGAAACGGCAGCTGGTGGCAGTGCTGAGGACTGGCTATGAATCCTGAGCGAGCTGGGGCAGGGCAGCACAGGGTGAGGTCGGTAGCAAGTGCCCACCCTGATGAAACCACACTCCTCTACGGAGGTTCTCTGCAGTGCGCTGCAGCCCGCCTGAGTCTGACTCACCGTCCTCCTCTGCGCCCCACTCTTCCTCACCGTCCTCATCCACCTTGCGTTTGTCTGCACCTCGCGGCTTTTTCTTCTTTTTCAGGGCTTTCTTCTCCGCCCGCACCTTCTTCCGCTGCTCAGCCTTCTCTTCCTCCTGCTGTACAAGAGCCGCTTCCTTCTCTGCGGCCTGGTAACGAGAGGGCAGGGCAGTCTGGTAGCTGTGTCATGCTGGCTGGCTCGCTGGTAAGATGGGGCGGGCGCTCTCATACAATACGTGATCATATGAACACAGCAAGGAGGAAACTCAGTTCATCCACTTTCAGTACACACCACAATCATTACAGCAAGAAAAAGAGGAGGCGCCCCTAAAGCGAGCTGTCTGCCGCTGTGACAGAATGCTGACAAAAGCCCCAGGGAGAACGGGCTAACCTGAGCTCACACTGCAGCTGTCTACAAGTCTATAGTGGGGCTGAGGATGGGACCCTGAAGCAGCTAGCGCCGTCCACAGACAAGAGAAGGAAGGCATGTCTGCAGGCTATGCTCACCCTTCCTTTTTATTTCATTTCAGAACCTAGCTGAGCGAGAACTGGCACCACCCACACCTAGGGTGGGTCATCCTACCTCAGTTAATCCAACTCAGAACCCGGGAGGGAGGCGTAAGCAAGCCAGAGATGCTACGCTCCACTCAAGGCTACCGTGACTCCCTCAGAAACCTGATTCTTGATCAAATCCCCCAGTCTCCCCTCCAGTCCTCTTGACCCCAGCCTCACATCTTCCTCAACTACACTGACTCTGTCCATCTGTCTGTCTTTCTTCCCACTGAGTCCTACTGGTACCACGGGTGTGTCCAGAGACCATCCAGTAGAGGTGGCACCCTACCTAGGCTACAGCCTGGAAAGACGGAAGGCCCCTTCCAGTAGCCGTCAATTGCCAACAGCTTCCAGGTGAGAGGCTCTGGGAGCCGCTCTGAGGCGTCTGTATGATCTAGTGTGCTCAATTCCTATTGAGTTCAAAGCTTTAAGTGAATCCTCAAATGGCAAGGAGTGGTTTAAATACTGACCCAAATGCTTTTTAACCTAGTATCTTGGTGGGGGGGGTGATGGTCAGTGGTTACAAGCACCAGGTGCTCTTCAGAGGACCCAGGTTCAATTCCCAGCACCCATATGGCACCTCACAACTGTCTGACACTCCAGTCCCAGGATCTGATGCTCTCTCTGACCACTGTCCACACATGGTGTAGACATCCATGCAGACAAAAGACCCAAAGCAAACCAAGAGGGCAGAGCAGCGCGGTTCCCAACCCTCAGGAAGCACCGCTGTCACCTTCATCCTCTGCTCGTTCACTCGAGCCAAGCGCGTCTCTGTTTTCTGAATGGCCAGATCCCAATCTTCTAAGGTCCCTGGAGAGACAGAAGCAGACTCTGACACCGGCCTCCTGGGCTGCAGCAGTGTCCCTGAGCCCACTGCTCCAGAGCACACAGCTCCCTTTATGAGAACCACAGCGGCTCTGGCTTTAAGACAACGCACGGCATCTGCCAAGTCTGTAACTCCAGTGTCGTTCTGGTTGCTGCTACGTCAGCTTCTCCTTCCAAAGACAGACTTAAAACAGTACCTCACTTTATAAGCTCTTGATGGTAAAGATTATAAAAACATTCCAATGCAAAGTGCACGTGAACTCCAGAGCTGGGGGAGCCACTCCAGTGCGCTCGACTGTGTTCTGTCTCAGTCTCTCACCCTAACCCAGACGGGTCCCAGGAGAAAGAAACCCAAAGCAGCTTTGCTGCTTCCCAAAGCTCTATTGCTAGCCATGGCTCAGGACGAAAGGCCACGGAGAGCCCTGCCTCTCCATAGTCCCGGAGTCCGGCTGTGGTGCAGACCCTGGCAGAGTGGCAGCACTCACGCAGGCTCCTGCTGGCTAGGGGGAACTGTTACGAGTTCCATTTGGCTGTGGTGCTAGCCAATGAGGCTGGGAGTGTGAGTGTGACCTGAGGACATGGGACAAGCCTGTCTAAGGGTGGCCTTCCAGTGCTGGCAGAATGAGGGCTGCTGCAAGAGGGCTCCTCCCACAAGGCAAGCCATCCGTCTCAGAGCAGACATCTCCACTGGAGACCACTGGCGAAGGACCACACTCCAAGCCAAACGCAGAAGCGAGCCCCCCACCTTCTGTCCTCTCCATGGTGAGCAGCACTTCGCAGACGTGCTCAGGGTAGTCACTCGTGCACTGTACCGCTCGGTGTAGAGCCTTCCGACAGTGTTGTGTGTCACCGTGTGCCCTAGAGCAAAAAACAAACAGCTGCCATCACGGCTCGTGGCAAAGACCACGGGCAGGCTGCCTGCTGAGGCAGAGGAGAATGCAGCTTGCAGAAGTAGCACAGTGTTTTCTTTCCTGCTACAAGAGTCTGCAGTCACAGGAGACTCTGTGCATGCCTTCTCTTGTCTGTGCAGGAGCACCTGGAAATGCATCTCAGGGGCCTTCTATGCACACAGGAGAGAATGCAGCTCCTGACTGCACCTGGACAAAGTTCTCTGCAGTCCACCTGAGGGCTCTGTGAATCCAAAATGGCCTAACCAGTCACAGAATGCTGATCACACTGGTGCGTGAGTGCCTGCGCGCGCACATGTGTTAGCACACTTAGACCTTCAGAGCAGGGGTGCTTTGGCTATGATCTGCACATGCATCCGACTGTCCTGAGATTTTGCCACAGTGCTGGCGCTGGCTCGGATAGCAGGGAAGCAGCAGAGCCTCCCAGTGAGAAGCCGTGTGCAACACAGAAATGCACAGGTGCTTCCTGAAGAAAGTGGACATCGCGGATTACAGCATCGGGCCAAACGTCTGTCGACTCAAGGGGCAGAAAGATACAGACAGACAGACACTACTACTGCAAACCATAAGAGCTGGTAGACAGTTCCTGACACACTCCACCTGGCCCTGCTGAGTTAGTTCTGCTGTTGTGGAGGGAAACCAGCAAGCTCATCTGCGTGGCTGAGGCCCCCTCCCTACCCCGCTGTCTCCAGGCCAGCTTCTCATGCCCTGTGATGAAAGCTGCAGCAAGCAGAGGCAGACAAGGGAAGCCAGGTGGTTAGCAGTCTCTTACTACATGAAGACATTTGCCAAAACATGAAATGTGGGGTTGGAGATGGCTCAGTGGTTAACAGCACCAGCTGCTCTTACAGGGGACACAGGTAAGAGCGCGCACACACATGGAGGCTCCAGGGCCTCTGTGGACACCAGCACCCATGTGGCACACAAATGAAAGCTCACGCAAACACCCGCCCACAGAAAATTTTAAAAAAGCATGAAGCCAGTTGTGACGGTGTATGCCTTTGATCCCAGGGGTTGGGGGAAAAGAGGCAGGCAGATTTCTATGGTTCTGAGGCCAGCCTGCCCTACATAGTAAGACCCTGTCTCAAAAAAAAAGGAAAAAAAAGAAAGAAATGTTTGTGGTTTTTGTTTGTTTTTTAAATCCCAGACTGTGTCACAAAATTATCTGGAGTTTGGAAAGCATAAGAATTTCTTTTTCTTTTTTCTTACAAAACTATACTTCTGTTAAATGTGTAACCATCCGCACACAAACACTGCTGAAGTGAGGGAGTCTCTGGAGAAGCCCGGCTGGCTTGGCTGGCACAGGGTGAGGAGAACTCTACTACACACCTTCAGATGCCTGCATTTTAGCTATTTCAATTTGGGCACACAATTTTTTAAAATAGGAAAACAAACTTTTTAAAAAAGAAAAAAGTATTAGAAATATCATGGATTTTCAATATGTGCTGAATCAAACAGCTGTAGTGTCAACTCATGTCTGTCATCTTGGGATACATTTGGAAGGCTGAGCAGGTGAGTCCCCCATGAGCTAGCCTGGGCTACACAGAGCCTCAATCATGGGAGGGAGAAAAAGAGGGAAGGAGGGAGAGGGAGGGAGGGGGAAGGGAGGGAGGGAGGGAGAGAGGGAGGACTGCAATTGTCTAGAGGGTCACAGTTTGGACACACCATGGTGAAGCCCACCCTCAACCCCAAATGACAGCAAGTCTAGTCTCCTAGCTGATCTGACGCCTTTCTTTTCTCTTTTAGTGCTTTATGCTTCCTGTATATAATATAATAAAAATAGTGACCCAGTCCGATCAGACATGTTCAAAACTCAGAAACAGAAACTTAGAATTTCATGGCTATAGGAGCACCCCCCTCCCGAGACACACACACACACACACACATACCCCACCCCACCCCACCCCACCACACCCCACTACACCACACCACATAGAACATTGCTCTAGAGACTTGCCAGCCACAGACCTGCTAAGGAAAGAGGGCGGACAGCGGCCATCCCAAGGAGCAGGCTCAGGTCAGCTCAGCCAAGGCTGATAAGGACGTCCGTCACCCAGCCTGGGTCACTCACCTTTCCAGGTTGTAATACTCCAGCCACATGTTGGCGTACTTGGCATTTCCTCTGGTCATGATGCTGTCCCAGAGTTCTCGAGCTTTCTGCATGTTATTGCACAGGCGAGCCTGAAGTACATTAACAAGGTCAGCTCACAGCAATCCCACACAGACACGCCTACAAACTGCTCCTTGCCCCATGACTGTCCCACTAATCCCTGAAGGTCCCAGGCCTCCCTCTGGCGCTATCAGGCCTAAAGCCCAGCTGCCCCTCTGCACAGCAAGCCTCCAAAGGTCTGCTTATGGGGCTGGAGCTCAGGCAGAGCCTGCAGCACAGTGAGAGCCTGGTTCCCAAGTGAGAGCTTTGCCAAGAGCTCCTGCAGACATGGCCCAGGGCTCTCCAGCCCACGGCAGGTCTGAGGAGCCATTTACTCTTCCTTCATGTCCAGCAAACCTGACTACAAATCTTCACTTGGAGAGCATCCCATAGAAAGACTGATCCAGCAGCAGGTATCAGCTCAGCTACTTCAGAGTCATGTGATTTGAGTGCAGACTGCTTCCTTAGCCTTCCAAACTCACCAGACTCTAATCCAGGATTAACCAACCAAGGTTCACTTCACTGACTCAACTCCCTTCACGGCACAGGACTGGAGCTTTATAACTATCAGCTGGAGAAGACGGCTCCATGGCTCACTCGACGGGGTCCCTGGCTTAGGAATCCCATCGACTGTGCCCGCTACTGCTTAAACAGTCCTTCTTCTGACAAAGTCAGAACCTGAGTACACAGAGACAGGCTCCTGCACAGCAGCCCTCAGCAGCCCTCAGGCAGCAGTGAGGGAAGAGCCGAGGAGGTGAATGGTCCCAGCCAGCGTCCAGGCACTGGCTGCTACACTGCTCTGGCTGGGAAAATCTTCATCAGGAAAATAAATCAAGGTAAGCATAAATCCTTTGGGCCCTGGACCAGAGCTCAGCTCCTGCCCCAACCTTCAGGGATGCTGACCAAGCCTTTGGAGGAGGGTAGGACAGGTCTGTGAAGATGCTCACCTCAACCCGAGCCCAGCTCTGCATGATCAGGCAGCTCGGATCTCCACTCTCGCTGAAACCTTCCAGAACGGAATGGGACAGTTAGGATGACCACAAAGACAGCACCCTGGCTGGGAAGAGTGGCTTGAAAGCAACACCAGGCAGCGGGCTGGGCAGCAGGTGGGGCCACTTACGCTCTTGAACCTCCTGCTGCAGATACTCCAGGGCACGCGTGAACATGGACCGCAGCTCTTCCAGCTCCTTGCTGGAGTCTGTTGGAAAAGGTGAGAGAGCCCCGTGAAGCCACCAAAGCCGACATCTTTAAATCTCACACCAGAAGCATGGAGGCCTCCTACGGACACAGGAGCCGGACACATCCGCTCACAATAATAAACATCAGGAAGGCACGGTGGCACTGAGAAGCGGAGGCACTGGCCAGGAGAGACAGGCAGGTGGCACGGGGACTGTATGGGGCAGCATGCGGCCCAGGACACGGGGTGGCACGGGGACTGTATGGGGCGGTGTGTGGCCCAGGGTTTTCCTAGCCTACCTTTGGTACGCAGCAGGGACCCTGCTGATAAAGATCTAAAAGAACAGGCCAGTCTTGCTGGAAAAAAGGTCTGGGACGTGACAGTCAATGTCAACCCCACAGAATCTAGAACCAGACGGGGGCCAGGCCCTGAGCACGCCATGAGGGATTGATCTCCGGTATATTGATGGAGGTAGGGAGGCCTGCCCACTGTAGGTGGTGCCGTCCTGACTGGATCCTAGGATGTGACAGGGACAGGGCACAAGCAGAGGCATGGCACCCGCTGTTCCCCCCTTCTCACCACAATGCCCTGTGAGCCGCTCTAAGCTCCATGGCACAATTCCCCAGTGGCTGGGCTGGGCCTTGAATGTGAGACTTTAAACCTCCGCCGGGCCCTTTTGACAGAGTATTTATCACACAACAGAAAAGACACTAAGACAGGGCTTATGGAACGTTAGACACAGAAGATGAAGGGTGAGGCCCCAGGGTCTGTTGGGAACCAGCCAAAGTACAAGGACCGCCATTCTTTTCACTCCACAATCTGACTTTAGTTGGAAATTGCTGAAGTTTCTGAAGAAAAGCATTACTAATGGTGGTCACTCACCAACCCCTACCCAGTCACAATGTGTGTGAACAACAGGAACATAGCTCCAAAGTGTTAAGAAAAAGGACAGCAGTCAAAAAGTGCTTGCATGCCAGCACAGGACCGGATCCCAGCACCCAAGTACAGAGCTAGCGAGGAGCCGCAAGCTTGCAGTCCCACTGCCGGGGAGCTGGGAACGAGGGCGTCCCTGGCTCACTGCTGGGGAGCTGGGGACAGGGGCATCCCCAGCTCACTGCTAGGGAGCTGGGGACGGGGGCATCCTTGGCTCACTGACGGGCCGGCCAAGTATAAGCTCAGGACCAGCCAAAAAAAGCCCCTGTCTCAGGGTCAGTGACCCGCTCTTGAAGAACACCACACAAGGCTGATCTCTGGCACGCACGTGTGCGCACACTCAGGTGCAGGGGACGTGACAACAGAGTCCAGTCTGAGGAGGCTACACAACCATACCTTGTCTGAAGTCAACCCTTCTCCTCAGGTAGTCTAGGTACACCTGCCAGATCTCCACGTAATCAGTGGCCTGGATGAATCCGGCACTCAGGGCATTCTCGAAGGTTGCTGCAATGCAGAAAGATACAACAGTCACTACTGACAGTTCAAAAAGAAAGCCATCAGAACTCATAAATGTGTGACTTATGCACTTATAAGTTATGCATTTATAAAGACACAAGGCTACAGACTCCCATCCCCAGTACCACACCAAGGAAGGAAAAAAACAAGTGTTTAAAGGGTGCTATGACCGACTCTTCCACAGCCAGTGAGAGGCCCAGTTGAGCAAGAAGACAGATGGGGACTTCTACAAAACTCATGAGTATCAGAAGTTAAGAGCAGTAGGAAACCAGACACAGTTCGTAGGCCACAGTGCCTCTGCAAGGCAGGCCTGAAGTGCCGGCTCAAGACTGCTGTGGCTCTGCTCCCCAATGGGGACAAACGGCTTAGTTAGAGCTGCCAGACACTGTGGCCCATGCCTGTCATCCCAGCAAGCCTGGGCTCCACTGAACGACACAGGAAGAACATTCTGAAAAAGGAACTCAGAAATCTCGCACACAAACGTTCACACCGGAAATCATTTGATGGTCCAGTCCGTGCCGCTCCATGGCCAGGAGGTACCGACTCCACAGGGCGACTGTCCATGGGCAGTTCCTCACAGCACGGCTGTGTACAGATAAAACCAAATCCTTTACTTTCAGCTGCCGATCCTGTGACAAAGAATCCAGAGTGAGGACAGATGGTCAGACCTCCTCAGTGTCAGAGCGTGAACAGACACTCCTCCACAGGCTCATGGGTTCTAGCACTCAGCACCAGCTTCCAGCACTGTCTTGGGAAGTTCTGAAGCTTTGGGAGACAAGCCCCTGCTGAGCAGGTGGGCCAGGGAGAGAGGTGAGCCTTCAGAGTTATAGCTCAACCCTAGCCGGCCCTGTACCGTCTGTGGTCCCTGACTAAGACCATGCCATAAGCAGATGCCTCTGCCAGAACCAGCATCACAGCCCGGCCCCCAGGGGCCGCGCCCTCAGCCTCCTCAAGTTGCTTCTTTTCAAGGTTTTGGCCATGAGAAATGTAACTCATGATCATCAGTGAGACATGCCCAGCACAGCGAACCGGAAATGTCTCATCACGGTGGCATGCTCAGGTGGTATACACGTCACCTCAGCACTCAGAAAGCTGAGGAAGGAGGGTCACACATTTTGAGGCCAGCTTGGGCTACCTATTAAGACTTGTCTCAAAAGAAATGAAGACAAAAACATAAATAAAAGAATACTGCTGGGCAGTGGTGGCGCACACCTTTAATCCCAGCACTTGGGAGGCAGAGGCAGGTGGATTTCTGAGTTCGAGGCCAGACTGGTCTACAGAGTGAGTTCCAGGACAGCCAGGACTACACAGAGAAACCTTGTCTCAAAACACAAAAAAACAAAAAAAACAAACAAAAAACAAAAAAGAACGCTGTGGCCTAGCTTCCTCCACGGCAGGGCAGGGAGCTGGGCATCGGACTTAGCCCAGAGACACATCCCTGACGCGTGGACTTCACCGGGGTCCTTCCACACAGAAGGACCTTCATGTGCATGCTGGCTCAGCAGGGAAGAACAACAGAGATGGAGACCCAGGGAGGGTACAGTGAAGCCGACAGGGAGCCCAGCCCCACGGGCCGAGCGGTGCTAAGGACAGTGCTGTGAGGAGCGGAAGGCGTCACTTGATCCAGCTCTTCCACATTTGCAATGTCTCCACAATGGAAAAGTCACATGCAACACTAATCTATCAGACAAAACCTTTCTAGAGTTGCCGATGGCAATCAGTTTAAAGTAGCATCAAATGCAACAAATCCGTATGCAAATAACAAACAGGACAGCAGGGACTTCAGGCAGGAAAAAGCAGAAAGGGCACCATGCAACCAGTGTCTGTCCCTCCCGGCCATCCCTGTGTACGGTTCTACCTTGAAGGAAACAGAACTGGAGCAGTTATCTTACTAGGTACTGACTGTAGCGGATCCATAAGTCTGGAACCAGGCAGTTCTCCACCAGGGCACGCTCAAAGATCAACTGAATACGAGCAGGATCCCCTATTTTCATCTCAAAATCGATGTAAGCTTGGTATTCCACCAGCCGTGGGGCCTCTGCTTGCAACTGGAGGACAGGAAAATCACACTTGTTAAATTTAAGTGCTTGACAGTTTTAGATAGATAGCACAAAACATCTTCAAACAAGCAAGCCTTGGCAAGAGCGGCTAGCCCAGGCCGAGAGCCACCAAATCTTCTTTCTCAGAACTGCCCGCGACAGGATAGATCTGTGACGGAGAGCCTCAGCCACCAGCATCCAAAGCCTTTTCTACAACCTTCCGAGCACACAGAAATGACTGAACAACGGCCTGATGTCACCCACTGCTCCCTGTCCTCCGAGTGCTGTGGTGAAGGCCTCACTCAGGTGTCAGTGTTAGAACACAGGCACAGGCTAAGGCGGGCCAGGCTGACACACCATACAGCCCAGTAACCCTCACAGCTCCACTCTGCTGATGGACAGGGTGGGACAAAGGCTCTGGACACATAAGTGCACACACGCTGGTTACAGATGAAGAGAGAAGAGCACACGGCTCCTGCACACAGCAGCAGGCTATTTTAGAGCCATGTTTCCCACAGGACAATGAGTCGGCCATCTAGACGCTGTGCCACTGAAGGACAAGAGCTGCTCCAATAACAGGCACAGCGGGTGGGACCTAAGGAAGACTAGGACAACTCGGGGTCAAGCTTCTGCTGACATTTTTTATTTTTAGAGGGGGAGTCTGAGACAGGGCTTCTCTGTGTGGCCCTGGCTGTCCTGGAAGTCACTATGCAGACCACACTGGCCTCAAATTCACAGATCTACCAGCCTATGCTTTCCGAGCCTTGGGATTAAAGGTGGGCACCACCGTGTCGAGAGCTTCTTCACAATCTGATCTTCAAAACACGTAAGAGGCAGGTCTCAGGACTGTCCTCATCTTACAGCCAGAGAAACTGACGTACAGGGAGGCCCACATCTGCCCAGAATCAGAGCTAGTAAATGGAGGAGCTGGGTTCAAAACATCCTGACTCTCACAGTTTGGCCTCTTCCTCGCTGTGCTCAGAAAGATGCTGAAAAAGCAGAGTCAAGATGCCCCAAGGAGTTCAAAGACGATGACAGGGCTGCCCGCCCACCTGAGGTAAAGCATCAGGCCAACGGAGGTTCAGAGCACAGACACTACTGATTCCCTTCCAAGAAGCAAGTCGGTGACAGACCACTGAGCTGTCCATGACAATACACAAGAGACATCGTGTTGTCAAGAACGTCACATCAGTGATGACAATACACAAGAGACACCATGTTGTTGTCAAGAACATCACATCAGTGTAGTGCACAGCCTGAAAACAGCTGTCAACAAGAAAAACAAAGACGGGGCCTGCCAGATACACAACAGAAAATCTGCTGCCAGAGAATCCTGGGTACTGAGACACCACACACTAACTTCAAGCCGGAGGATTCCGGATACAGAGCTGAGATTCAATGGGAAGAGGCAGAACACAGAAAGCAGCGCTCACAGAAAGGCTGCCCACGTGGACCAAGCTACTGTCTGAGGTGGTGCTGACAGTGATGCCTGGAGGCACAAACCAAAAAGCAAGATAATTCAAGACAGTAAGAGCACAAAGAGGTGGGCGATGAACCCCGCCCACAAGCGGTGCTGCTATCACAAGACTCCTACGTGAGCAAGCCTGTGGATGAAAAACCACTCATGATGTGAAATGCCAACTGCATTCTTGCAAATCAGCAACCACACAGAAAATAAGTCTTTAAAAAGAAATAGCTTGACCAATGGCCTAGCTCCCTGCGGCTGTCCTTGGTCGCACTTGGCACCAGGCTGAAGCAGCCAAGATGACCTTATTTCATCTTGTACGTGAGCACTGGGTCCATATACTTGTCCCTGCGGGATTTCTCTTTGGATGTTATCTAGAAAGGAAGGATGATGAAAAGCTAACTGCCTTCCGGAATAAGAGTATGTTCTTTCAAAGGGAACTGAGCCCCAATGAAGAAGTTACTTGGAAGTAAAAGCTGGTTAAATCACAGAATGTTCACATTTTAAAAGTTATTGGAGAAATAAAAATGTTTATTATTTAATTAGAAAAAAAAATAGCTTACAAGTTCACCAAAGCCACTCTCTGCTTAAAGTTTCCATGACAGTGGACGCTCCCAGGGTTAGCACAGCCTCCCAGGTGAGACGGGAACTCCTCGCACTGAGCACAGACCTATGCAGCAGCAATCACATTCAACAGATCTGAGAGGCTGAATGTAGGCCCGACAGAATCACACTCAAGGATGACAGGTCCCTTGGAAAGACTCAGGGAACAGGTCAACTGTAAGCACTATCACAGCACAAGCAGGGCAGCGGGAAGAGCCACGGCACACACTGGGTCACTGTGTGGCCGGTCCTACACTGCAACAAGGGACACACTGTTACAATCAGGAGCACACCGGTCTCTACACAGGTTCAGATGGTTACTGCCTGTTCCCACTAGATGGAGATCCAGACAGGAAATCCAGGCTAAGGTTTCAAGAAGGTGATCCATCACCAACAAAGACAGTAGTTCAAAAAAAAAAAGACATCATCAGAAGCCAGGACTCCCAGAAAGGGTGGGGTGGGGTGGTGGTGGTGGTGGTGGTGGTTAACAACTTCTGAAGCTGAAAAAGCTTCACAGAACAAAAAACCCCAGTGGCTGAAGCACATGAGCTGTCATTAGTGATCAAAGAAAATACAAAACTCCAACCCAACTTGGAACACAAGCTAACGTCACTAACGTCAGCATCGGACTGGTAGCTGAGGACCCGTCGATGCTGGCAAGGGTGCAAGCACCCAGAACCTTCTGCAGCATGACCAGCAAGTTTCCCTTTCTAACACGTGCTGGAGAAACTCCTCTGTGTGTACAGACGACACTGTGCCCTGTGCACACACTGCTACACATACAACCCCACAGGCCCCACACAGGCTAAATACTTAAGACACATAAGCTAAACACGCATGTCAGGGGCAGCCCTGCTTATACACTGAAGGCCTAAAATCAGCAACAGGCCTAAGTCAGCCTACTAACACAAAGACTTGGTCTCTGTGGAAAAACACTGAAACAGATAGATATAAGATACTGTAAACATGGGCTGGAGAGATGGCTCAGTGGTTAAGAGCACTGACTGCACTTCCAAAGGTCCTGAGTTCAAATCCCAGCAACCACACGGTGGCTCACAACCATCTGTAATGAGATCTGATGCCCTTTCTGGTGTCTCTGAAGACAGCTACAGTGTACTCATATATAATAAATAAATCTTAAAAAAAAAAAAAGATACTGTAAATAGTCAGCTTTGGTGGAAATTTACCAGCCTGGATAGGAACAAGTAGTCATAGGTCTTGTAGATAGTCATAGACCTTGGGTAGCCTTGGTGGATAGTACCAACTTAGATAAGGACAAGTGAATCATAAGCGGAGTCATAGTGACCTGTCCCCTGAACCTTTACCCAGCTGACACTCTGTTCTAGAAGATGTCTGTACTCCCGCTGAACACCTATCCTCCTGAGTCATCCCCTTCCCCACATCCTGTCTCTATGTGCATATAACCCCTGTGTGAAAGAAGTAAAATCAGTGGTTTGATCAGCCTATAGACAAGCCACTCGTTCTTTGTGTCCTGTCCTCCAGTTCTCTCTTCCAGGTCTTCTGATCCCAGTTCACTGCCCCGTGGGACTGGGGTACACACACACACACACAAAAGAATACGAAGAAAACCGCAGCCTGAATCAGCATGTCAAGCTCTACAAGGAGGGTCTGGCACTATGTTAAGGGTCCGTCCACAGGAGCACAGCTATCAAAAGGGGCGAGACTATCATGAAGCCATCAAGTGAGCACCTCAGGGAGAGGAGAAGAGCACAGAGGAGACTCCCGGGGCACTGCATGCTCACGATGTTATACACACTACATGCTACACAGTGAGACAAACCTTCAAGAGACGCTGCCTGCAGGCTGTGGGAGAGCATGTGGGAAAGTCCCAGGGAGCAGGGCACTCACCAGCGCTTCCTCAAAAGGCTTGTACTTCTCCAGCTGACCCAGCGCTTTCTGGTAGCTCTGAAGGACGGACTCTGGTATGGGCTCTTCTGACCACTCTTCATACTCTGCAAAAGTGGCCTCCATCTCTACAGAAAAATGGAGTCAGGCTGTGAGCTATGCCATTGAGTTTATCAATGTAAAAGAGCCAGAGGACCGCAGTGCCAACCACCCCTCCCACATCTGTGGTTGGCACAGTTCTCACTGTTCAGTTCCTAGCTCTGTGGAGCCCACACATCTTAGGACAACAGGCGGACAACCCTCCCCACTAATCGGTTGGTGAGGGCAGGAGCAAGGCTGCCAGCACTGATCAAAGCCGCCCACAGTCCTACACGTACTTGCACCCTCGACCTCCTGGGGCCTCCCCCTCTGCACCGTGTGTTCTGTGATCCTCAGGATGAGGGGAGGTAAGAACTAACAGCAGATCAGCCTGGCTGCCTCAAGCTACCGTGTCAGATGGGACCTACAAACAGGCCAGTTCTGGCCTTTTCTGGACAGCACCAACAATTCCAGTAAATGCACTTGCTAACATGAGATCTGTGGCCCAAGGAGCCATGAAGTAAGAGATCTCAGGGCTCAAGGAGCTGCCCTGAGGTTCTGAGCAGGGCCTGAGATAGACAGGGCAGTGCCAACCCCACACACATGAAAGGCCCTCCCGGTACTGCCCATGCCCAGTGCTGAAGCAATGACAAAATGGGCTCACTCACAGAGACCCTAAGCAGAGCCCCTAAAATCGAGACATGAACGGCTACAATCAACTTGTGAAGCAAGTCACTGTAGGATGGGCAGAATGCCCGTGACATGCAGAGACACACCAGCATGGGACTCGTGGTCAAGTGTCCCAGGAAATGGAAATGAGATACTGTGATCATGTCCCCCTTTCCAAATGTCTTAAAGTATAAAGAAATGTCAACTGGGCTCCAGGAAACATGGTCTCTCGCCCTGCCTCTGAGCCTAGTAACTCTTAGCATTAACAAATCGAAACAGACTTCCAACCGTATCGAGAGCACCAACCCCGCCTGCCCCAAGGGATGCTGGGAAGGCCGTGAATCAGGGCACTAGCAGCACAGAGCTGCTGGCCGGTCTGCTCCCCTTACCGTACAGCGGGACCGCCAGCTGTCGCCGGAAGAGGCTGTGCACTTTCTCCAGCTGTGAATCAAAGGTTTGTTCCCGGTCAGAAGGGTTAAGGAAGGCAGCTATGGGCTAAAGAGGCAAATTGGCAATAAAGGAAAGCATTGGTTCCTTCTACTTCAAAAATCTCAACAAACTGTCAATTAAAAAAAAACACAAAAGCTATGGCACTTCACACAGGAGGCGTCGCCCTTACTGTGGGCCCTAGGGCTTACAGCAAGAAGAGAAAAAGGAATACAAGGGACCCAGGGGCCAGTGAGATGGCTGTGCAGGCAAAGAGGGCTTGCTTGTCCCTAGGTCCACAAGGTAGAAGGAGAAAATCAACTCCCACAAGGTGTCTCTGACTCCTACATGCTGCTATGGCACACACGAAACACACACACACACACACACACACACACACACACACACACACACCAATGTAACAGAAAGAACAAAAAACAAAAAACCAGTCTTTTTAAAAAGAAAGAAATCTGGAATGAAGAGATGGCTCAGAGGTTAAGAATACTGGTTGTTTGTTCTTCTAGAGGACCTGAGTTCAATTCCCAGCACCCGCATGGTGGCTCACAGCTCTAATGGGACCTGATACTTGCTTCTTCCAGCTGTTCAGGAAGACAGAGAACTCATATACAGAAATAAATCTTTGGAAGGAAGGAAGGAAGGAAGGAAGGAAGGAAGGAAGGAAGGAAGGAAGGAAGGAAGGAAAGAAGGAAGGTAGGTAGGTAGGTTGGTTACCGACTACAATGTGCAGAACCTACATTGAGAGCACTTAGGGTCACAGCGTCAGGGACCTGACTGCTTATAAAAGGCGGCTGGGAAAGGCTCTAGACAGCACAGTGGCAAGACCTAGACGTAGGGCGGAGTCACAGGCTCGTGATTGCATGTGGAGTATGCTATGGCAAAGCCACAGCAGACAAATGCTACAGTATTTGGAGAGCCAGGCGTGGCAGGCACGGGAGCCCAGCTCTGGGGAGGCAGAGGCAGCAGGGTGTCTGAGGTTGTCTGTGTCCACACAAAGTTTGGGAACAGGACAGACACTGCAGATCACAGGCTCTGGCCTCACTCGGCGCTCTGCAGACTGAGGAGAGGATGTCGCTGAGGCTGCATCTGTCCGACAGCTTCACTCAGCACATTTCCCAGATGTTAGACTATAAGCACAAACAGAATGGGACCCAGGCACCCAGTGCACGCATGAACACCTCCTCATACACTAGCCCAAGAGCCAACGTCACAGGAGGGCGCAGGGCCAGTCTCCTGTGCCACTGTCAGGCAGTGCTCAGAAGATTTGGAGCACAGAGCATTCTGGATTTCTAAACTCCAGATTAGAGATGCTTGACCTGTGATGGCCACCTGTGAGGGGGCCCAGAGAGGGCCCAGCTGTCTATCCACCCGTGTGAAACCTCCCCTCAGTCACACTGAACATGACCCAAAGATATGCATACAAAATATACACACACATCAAGACACAAAAACCCATATGCGTGCACACACACACACACACATATACACATATTATATATGTGTGTACACACACAGACACACAGACACACACACACACACACACAGAGACAAAGCTTTATAACTAAAGCAAGTGTTTGACTCTATCAGGAAACCACTCATCTACTTCCAAGTCAGGCGAGTCACTCGCTCTGCAGAGACCAGTGTCTTTGCTGTTTACTTAAGTTAGGATGTTTGTTTCAGAACAGCACCTCCTGCCAGCCTGGGTCAGAGACCTGGGCACTCACCCGACCGGCTTCTACAATGGCACTTTCAAACTCTCGGTAAGCCTCCCAGATGGCGAGGCCTTTCGTCATGTGTAGGCCAACAGATGACAGGGCTCTTTCAAACACAGAGCGAACCTTCTCCAGGCCACCTTTCTGACCAATGCCACCAACTGAGTACTGGCCATACTCTAGCCAAATGTTCGGGCCTAAAAAACAAGAAGCAATCTGTAAGTTCAGGTCATTAATATGCCCCATGTCACCTCATGAAGACAAAACGCATGCCCACCAAACACATGTTGTTTTCTGCAGAAATGAACACTGCCAACAAGCACTCCAGCTTCCCACAATGCTGAGCTCCCAGAGGAGCTGTCTGCATGTTTCTAAACACAGTAGACATCTGACCGCAGACAGCACGCCAGGAGGCAGTACGTAATAAGTGCACGCACTTACACTCATTAAAACGGAAGGGTTGAGCACAGAGCCCTGCAAGGCCCTGTGGGTTTATCGCAACAAAGCGACAGACACATAGGGGTTGGGGTCTTAAGGGAACCCACTAACACATTTCATAGACTGTAAGCATAAATCTGAGTCACATGGCCACAACATTTCATTTCCTAGTGTTCAGTCTTGCAGGTCTATTGCTTCTCGGCCTTTTGGCTAAGATCAAGTGCAGTCTTGCAGGTGAGAAGGAAAAGCCAACGCAAGAGCCCCCAGCCTGTGATTGGGAATTCACTTGTTCTGATTCCCATCAGCCCTGCCTGTCCTGAAACTCTGAGCCCTCACAAACACATGTAGTGTTTCTGATACTAACATCTTCAGCATTGAGTGGTACACCTGTGACAACCAATCAGCCTACCTTGATGGGTGTGGTGATGACACCTGTACCCAGTACAAGAGAAGCAGAGGCAGGAGGATCACCAAAGTATGAAGGCACATGGCCACAGCCCCCTTTGACACACTTCCTCTATGTTTGGTCATCTTAGAGCTAGAACCCAAATGCTGCTCTCAGGGGTTGGGCTTTTTCTTTGCGACAGGATTTCTTTCATGTGTCCCAGGAGAGCCTTCATCTCACTAGATACTGTAGGCTACCCTTGAATTCCTGATCTACCTCCTGAGTGCTGGGATTACAGGTGGGCACTCCCACTCAATTTCTCAACGTGTTTTAATGTTCTCAAAAACAGGTTGTCCAAGGGGGTAGATGGCTTAGCACTTAAGAGCACTGACTGCTCTGCCAGAGGTCCTGAGTTCAATTCCCATCAACCACATGGTGGCTCACAACCACCTGTAATGGGATCTGATGCCCTCTTCTGGTGTGTCTGAAGACAGCTACAGTGTATTCATATAAATAAAATAAATTCAAACAAGTGAAAAAACAAACAAAACCATATTTTACAAACTGTAGAAGACACTGTGCAAAGCCAATATTTCAAACTTTTTTTGTTTCTGAGATGGGGTCTCACTAAGTACCCTAAGCTGCCCTTGAACTCACTGTGTAGCCTAGGCTGGCTTGGAACTCATGGTGACAAGGATAAGTAAGCATGAGCAACAAACAGGACAGGGACAGACTGCCATGTCTTAGTCAGCACTCAGGAGGCAGAACCAGGACGCTCACACACTGTAAGGGGCAGGGCTGCTGTTTCAATCAATCAATAGATACAAGCTAAACTTCGAGTGCCTGGAAATCCCACATCAGCCCTCCCTGTCAGACACATGCTGGGTGAGTGAAGCACTTACTCTCTTCCCACAAGTATTTTCCTACTTTCATCTTAAGTCCGAACAATCTCTACTGAACAGTTAACCGTCACAAAAAACACAAGGCTCTAAGTTCAGGACTCCTGCCTCCTTCCCTGGCAATACCCCACGACACAGCACGGTCAGGAGGGCCCAGGTACTCACAGATGTAGTCCTTCACAGCTCTCTCGAAGAGCTCGTAGATGTGCTCGCGGTCCAGACCGTCCCCAGCCATGCTGATCTCATCGTGCAGCCACTCCAGCCAGAGCTCTAGGGACGACAGCACAGCTCAGCACCCGCCCTCACCTGCTCCCACCACTTCTCACAGTGGAGCACAGACCGTGCTCCCCACAGAGGCCGCCGAAGCCCTCACATCAGACATTCACTACCCTGCAAAGTACTTGGCATGTTCCCATGAAAGGGAGGCCAGGAGAGCTGTGCCTGACCGACACCATGGCTGCGAAGCTCGACCGTCGGCCAGCTGTGAAGAGGCCCAGGCCCGGCCACAGAGCTGCTCCCCAGCAGTGTGCTCCTCAGGAGCAAATGTGTGGACACAAACAAGATGTACAACTGCTGCCCCAAACACACATTTGCACACCCAGCGACTCCATTCCCAGGCTGGAGGGATAACCCAGGGTAGGGACTAGCTGCTCTTCCAGAGGACCCAGGTTTGACTCCCAGCTCCTAAATGGTGGCTCACAAGCATCCGTAACCCCAGTGCCAGGGGATCCAACTCCTTCTTCTGGCCTCTGTGTACACCACGTACACACACATGCATAAAGGCAAAACCACCCATATAAAGAAAAACTTAAGAGATTTAAAACTATAATGTTGGGCTGGAGAGATGGCTCAGCAGCTAAGAGCACTGACAACTCTTCCAGATTCCTGAGTTCAATTCCCACAACCATCTGTAATGAGATCTGATGTCCTCTTCTGGTGTGTCTGAAGAGAGTGACAGTATACTCACATACATTTAAAAAAAAAAAAACTATAAATGCTTACCTAAATTTAGAATTCTGTGGTACAATAGGCTAACTACACACTTGTTGGAATGGAAGAGACCACAATCAAGTTAAATTATGTTAATGAAAATGTTTCTCATAGTATTAGGGTAAGAAACCAGTATTCCGGGCTGCTGAGATGGCTCAGCAGTTAAGAGCACTGACTGCTCTTCCAGAGGTCATGAGTTCAAATCTCAGTAACCACAAAATGTCTCACAACCATCCGTAATGAGATCTGATGCCCTCTTGTGGGGTGTCTGAAGACGGCTACAGTGTGCTCACATGAAATAAATAAATAAATAAATAACGCCACAGTGAGCGTGTCCAGAGCAAGAGGGAGAAAGGAAGGGGAAATTTAAAAAAAAAAAAAAAAAAAAGGAAAAGAAACACGTGATTCGGTATGATCAGACTACATTCTGCAAACAGTCGGAGACAATGGAGAAACCAGAAGCAGGCAGCTCACCTTCCGTCAAGGGAAAGATGTCGCTCATCTTCTGGCGGGCCATCCTCACTTTGTTGAGCTCGCCCTCCAGCCGCAGCAGCCTGATGAGCTCCACGTGGCAGCTGTAGTCATAGCCATTGATGGACAGCTAAGAGCAAAGTCACAGTCCTCAGGGCCAGCCTCAGTGCGGCTGAGAAAGCACCAGAGGAGCCCCGGGCTCTCTAAGCGCCGTCCTCAGACCCGTGACTCCCTCAGCCTCAGCTCCTCAACTATGTGGGCCCTGAGCCTCCACCCAAAGCTCACGGGGTTTAAACGGCAGACGTGTCAGGAGTCCCTTCATTTCACTGAACAGAGGGACAGCAAGAGGTGGTGTGGGCTCCAAGACTGTACCGCCGTCTCTGGCACACACCCCAAACCTACAAAACAACTCCTGCGTGACAAGACTGGCACCCGGGCTCACTCTAGACAGACACTGCCATGGTCACAGGTTTTTGACTGGTTTTTTGTTTTTAATATTTTCTTTATTTATGCACATCTGAGGTAACTGACAGCAGCTGTTCTCAGAGTCGAGCTGAGGCTACAGGTGGTTCCCGACCTGTGTGCGGAGAACCAAGCTTGGGTCCTCTGCCCAGTGCTCTTTACACTGAGCTCTCTCCAGTCTCGGTAACTGGTTTTTGAGGTTTTTGTGCATTCTGGTTAGCCCTGGCCACCCTCCCCCTACTCAGGAGTGAAGATCTTGTTGTCACTGGAGACCAGCATTAAGCTGCACTTGGTGTAGTACTGGCTCCTCTGCCTCTGGCAGCCAGATCTCACACTATAGTGGGGTTTTTCCAAGTTCAGCAGCAACAGCTACAGAAAGGCTAATTTTTACATTTGGAACTTTTCATGTAAAAACTGAAAATACTTCTTCACACTTACACATCAACACAAATAGAATATAATTGGATTAGCAGCAGCCCCGCCCTGAGAGAACCAAAGTCTTCCAATAGGACGAGAGTGATGCTGAGAAGGGCCTGTGAGGCCCACAGACAGGCGAGCGGAGGGGAGCCCTGTCTTCTAGGGGCTCTTCTAAGTCATATAAGGAAGAAACAGACACCTCACGACCATCCGACCCCAGGACAGAGTAGAGTGGGAAGGAAGAGGCTCCACGCCCCTCCAGCTGCCCACAAGCCTAAGTGCCCTCAGTGGAAGATGCCAACACAGAGAGAACAGCAGCACCATGAGTCAGGCATGGTGTAACCCCAGCCTGCCTGGCAGAGGTGGGAAGGCAGAAGTCATAGCCTTGGCTACTTTGAGAAATCCTGTTTCAAGGAGAAAAACTGGATGGTGTGATAGCGCATGTCTGCACTCAGGCAGAGGCCGGCAAAGCTCTGTGAGTTTGGGGCTAGTCTGATCTACATAGTGAGTTCCAGGTCAGCCATGGCTACACAGAGATCCTGTCTCAAAAAACAGAAAGAAAAATGCCAAAATCCTTTCCTGAGGACCTGTGGACAGCAAAGAGACAGACTGCGTGAGAGTAAGGCCACGTGGCACCCTTAGCCAGTGAGGACATGCCCACGGAAACCGGTGCCAGTCGATCCAGAGGCTGACAGACACCACTCCCACCTGCTGCAGCTGTCCAGGGGCAGCACCTGAGCTTCTCTCAGTACCCAGCACCCAGTCTCCACTCCATGCAGCCTCCACCCCATGCAGCCAGCACACAGGAGCTCAGGAAGCTTCCTTCCTAGCACCCAGACTACAAACAGCCTTATGGTGCAAGGCTAAGCTGGGGGAGCACTCGCATTCTGCTACTGTGCTGCAAAGGGAAGGATGTCCTTGAAATGGAAAGGCCGTTTGGAGTCAGAAAACAATTAGTGTAACTTTCCACTCAGCAGATAAAGGGGAGACAGTGACCTCAGGGCAGAAAGGGACAAAACCGCCCATCCAGGACTTAAAATACAGAAATATTATAAAAATATGGTTTCGTTTTTATCCCAGGTGTAGGATATGGGCCTGCTTCAGATCGTCCACTACATCTGACTATGACTGTTCCCGTGCTCTAGGAGGGGTGTGATTTTTGCCAGCTGCAGATCCTGTGACTGTGTGACATTTGGAATTCTGTGGACTTTCCAGAGGATAAATGCTAGGGCCCAACAGCTGGAGGCTGGTAGGTGGTTGGATGCAGGTGACTGCAGTCTGTCAAGTAGTCACTGTGTACAGAGACGAGATTAGATATCCTGATGATGAAGATCAAACCTGCCCCAGGGAACTCGATGGCCCTAGTCAGCAGGGAACGCCCCTTTCCCCTCTATTCTTTTTCCTTTCTACCTAGTACTAACGGGTTGAATGGGTGGAAGAAAAAAGAACCCACAACACGCATGTGTGTGAGCCCAGCATCTGGAGGCTGAAGCAAGGGGTCACCGCACTTCTGACGCCCATCTCACGGTCTATCTCACTATCTCACCATGGCCAGAGGCGGGGCAAATGAGGCAATCCCTGCAGCAGGCTCTTCGTGTGCTCTGCGCTGAGGAGCTGGGAAAGGTGCACCTCCTGTGGGTCAGTGCTTAAGATCCAGCGTCAAGTGACACAAGGTAAGAGCAACAGAGTGAGGTCAGCTGGGATGGATGCACTTCCTGTTCCCCCACAGGGAGAACACCATCACAACACCTCACTGCTGACAGCCAGTCTGAATGCGCTGTGACCATGCCCAGGAGGTCCTTGCTGGTCAGCGTCCAGGATGACTACGTGTCCTCCCCATGAAGACAGTTTAACTGATGAGTGAGTATACCCTCTGCTCTGCTCTAGGCCCAGACCATCAGTAATGACATAAACAGCTTTAAGAGGAGGCTCAGCCAAAGCTATCTGGTCAACACAGAGCACAAAGGACGCCCCACGCACGTGCACCTAGCATGTGCACAAGAAAGGCCCGGCTGAAAGGATACAGCTGCCAATACTGCAGAAGCGGGATGGGGAAGGCCTTTACCTGACATCTATTACGCACCCAAATGGGCCAGACTCATGTGGGGGCCAATGTGAGAGCACACATGACTTGTACTGCCAATGCAGGAAGTGTGTGCCATTACACAGCCTGAAGATGTTTCTTCTTTAAGAGCAAGGAAAGATGCCGGGCAGTGGTGGCACACGCCTTTAATCCCAGCACTTGGGAGGCAGAGGTAGGGGGATTTCTGAGTTCGAGGCCAGCCTGGTCTACAGAGTGAGTTCCAGGACAGCCCAGGCTATACAGAGAAACCCTGTCTCGAAAAACCAAAAACCAAAAAAAAAAAAAAAAAAAAAAAAAGAGTGGCAATGCAGGGCTGGAGAGATGGTTTAGCCGGTAAAGTGTCGCTTGCGGCCACACCTGATGACCGGAGTTCAATCCCCGGAACACACACACGGTAAGAGACAACCGTGTCTCCGCATGCACACAAACGCAAGTTTAAAATACAAAAAAAAGGGGGTAATAGTCCTGAATCGGCTTGAAAAGATAAACACTTTCGGTGAAGTGTCACCTTGTGCGGGAGCCCCCTCCAACGAGCCTCAGTTTCCCAGTGACACCGGATGAACACTACTTCCCCAGCCGTGGGGAGAATTCAATGGAATACTTTAGGAAAGCCCTGGGCACGCACTGAACCCGGGACGCGGGGACACACGGTGGCAGACCGAGGGGGCGGGCCGCGCCTGCGGACCCGAGGGAAGGGAGCCCGCCGCCCACCCCGGCCCACCTGCTCCTCCAGCCGCTCGATCTCCAGCTGGTTCTTCTCCTCCTCCTCGTCGTACTCCCACTCGTCCTCCCCGGCGGAGCTCTCGGCAGAGGAAGCCATGGCGTCCTCCTCATCCCCGTCGCTGTCGCTCACGCCTTCCTGCTGCAGGTCCCAGCCCGGGTCCTCGGCCTCGGCCGCCTCCGCGGCCACAGCGTCGGACAGCATCTTCATCCCCACACCGGCCGGCTTCGCCTCGTCCTCTTCTCCCTCGGCCTCAGGCCCCGCCTGGGGCTCAACCTCCGGCTCAGACGCTGAGGATGCGGCCGCCGTCGCCATCTTGCGCAGCCCGCGACTCTCGGGTCTTCCCTCGTCCGCCGAAGCCGGGCGAACTTCGGGCTGTCCATGGCGTTCGCCTGATCAAAACTCCGCTCGGCCACCAACGGAAGTGGGACGGAGGGCCTCGGGGCGCAGGAAAACGCGGAGAATCCACCGCTGATATTATCCTTAGGCTCCTCTCGACGCCATTGTCAGAAAGAAAGGCTCAATAGCATAACCTGAGTCCCGCAACAACCTTAGACAACTGTTGGGTCTTGGGACCGGAAGTGGCGGCCATAGCGGAAGTCGTGTGTGCGTGATGTCGGTAGTTAAGGTCGAGACGCCATCTTAGGAAGGTCAAAGTCTTTTTTTTTTTTTGGACTAAAGAACTGTAAGGCTCAGCCCGCTCCCGTGCGTGATTGTTTCCCAGCAACCGACCCTCAGGTGCGGACAAAATTCCAGTTCCTCCGCGATCGAATGCACCGTTCATGAGAAAAAAATCAATCAGAATAAAGCTCCCTCCCCTTTGTAACACCTAGCACCTAAGAGGTGTTAAGCACGTCTATTTTGCGATCTCCTAGCCAATATGAATACATTACAGTAAGTATTGATTCGGATTGCCGGGCATTGTAAAAACAAACATGTGTGTCGAGGCATGGTGTCTGTTTCTTTTATACTTCTCGTTCTTTTTGTTTGGTTTTTGCTGTTGTTTGGTTTTTCGAGACAGAGTTTCTCTGTATAGCCCTGGCTGTCCTGAAACTCACTCTGTAGACCAGGCTGGCCTCGAACTCAGAAATCCGCCTGCCTCTGCCTCCCAAGTGCTGGGATTGAAGGCATGTGCCACCACTGCCCGGCTTATACTTCTCGTTCTTGAGGTAGGAAAGCACTGCTGTTCTCCTCTGCGCTGCCTTCCTCCTTCATCAGCGAGGTTAACGACATAGGAATGGCGTCCGTTTTGCTTTCTTCGAGACTCTTATGATTTTTCTAGTGACACCTAGTGTACACTTCATACGTTATTGGCTCCATAGATGAAACGGCTGCCATTGAATTAGTAAAAACAGATCTCACAGCCTGATCAAGAGTTAGCAGGGACTTATGCAAGCTCGAATCCCAAGCATGCCTGAGTCTGAGCACCCTTGGGCAAGCCAGGCCCGGCTCCCCGCGCCAGAGCATTCCCACACCCATCGCACGAAGCACCAGACAAACGTGTCCGCCGCTTCAGACCTTCCCGCTCTGCGCCCCGTCCACGCCCCTTCCGGGGGCGTGGTCAGAGAGAGGCCGGCCAGCACGCGCTTGGAACGGAGGGCGCAAGCGCGAAGCCGCGGTGACGTCACGCGAGCGCGCCCTTCCCTCGGCGTCGCAGAGGTCGACGCGGGTGCTAGCCGGCAAGATGGCGGCGGCTGGAGCGGGCCGTCTGCGGCGGGCGGCGTCCGCGCTGCTGCTCCGGAGCCCGCGCCTACCCGCCCGGGAGCTGTCGGCTCCAGCCAGGCTCTACCACAAGAAGGTATGGGCGGGCGAGGGGGTGCGCGAACCATCGAGGGGACCTGCAGCCGTTGCACAGATAACAACCACCGAGGACCCTGCGGCGACCTCAGCCCCGCCGCGGCCGCCACTCCGAGTGTCCCAACTCTGACAGCTCAGAAGGGAGGGTCCTGGTATGTCATGCCGGGGGTCAACGGGCAGCACATACACACACACACACGCACACGCACACGCACGCATGAGCACACTCTACAGCACCCGCGTCCTCACCAGCTAGGCCATTGTCCTGGCCATTTGGCCTTGAGCAAGTCACTGGCCCTCGCCCAACCTTTCTCTCACATCCGACCGGGGTCTTCTGCAGTCCCTGTGTGTGGAGCGCTCGGTCCAACAGATGGAAACCACATACGGCGATTTACTATTTTAGGAGCTGATGGCCTCGAGTTCAGCCAAGCATCTAGCCAACGTAAAACATCGGCTCTCAGTTATCTGTTTACTTGTAGGGAGCAGAAAGTACCGAAGGGTAGTTTGCGCTCCCCCCGCCCCATGCCTTCTAGGGACATTAAAGTCCCCTTGACATGAGACTCACTCGGAAAAACAAGACCACCACCGCTGTACAAGACATGGGAAAAAAGTCCCGATTAGAGGATGCGTTGTAGAGCCTCAGGGCTTAGACTCAGTCTGCAGACGAGGATGCTTCCTGGTAACTAGGGGTAGGGGGGAAACTCGGTTTTTAAATCTTGGTGTGTCCCTGACTTTAATGGCTGTTTGTTCTGTTCTGGCTTGGGTACTTTTGCCCAAGTCCTTCAAGCCCCAAAGGGAAGGTTGTTTTGTTGACATATTAGCTACTGGACCTTGATCGTGTTGGCAGCCTTAAGACACCAGAGGGCACTCCTGCCCCGGAGTGGCGCTGTGTTTATGTTTACAGCCACCAATGACGCATTCATTCCCCAACCTCGTCCTCATCTCTTAAGTCACCTTGAAACTTCTGAGGAAATCTTCCATTGAGGGCCGATTTTATTCTTGGGATTTTTTTTTAAGTACATAATTCTCTTTGTGTATTGTGTTTGGTAAAAACAGAAGTGCTTGAGCCCGGAGTACAGTGTGTGAGCCAACTGATGGTTTCTGGTTGACAGCCCCCTTTGAAACGAAGATGTAGCTGAGTTTTCACCAATTTCTTGGACAGTATCTCCATTACAAAGGTCGCTGGGGGGGAGACAGAGAGAGTTTGGGTCACACATTGGTCTCCCGCCTCTGTCGAATACAGACTGCTGACCTGAGGGAGACAGTAAAGCCGTAGTGATTTCTGTTGCTCTGCCATTTCAGGTTGTGGATCATTATGAAAACCCTAGGAACGTGGGGTCCCTTGACAAGACATCTAAAAATGTTGGAACTGGATTGGTGGGGGCTCCGGCATGTGGTGACGTCATGAAGTTGCAGGTACTGGCCGGATGAAAAGAATCACCACCTGCACCCCCGACAAGACGTTTACTCAGAGAGCATTTTGTCTCGTCTGTCTGTTCCTGTGAGGAGGGATGAGTGGCTGCCATGGATGGTGAGGGTAGAGACTCCGGGTCTCGTTCTGATACAGATGACCTCATTCCCACCACACGGAGGCAGCAGCTAGACCCTGCTTTCACAGAGTGAAAGAGTGTGTGACTGTTCTGACCAAATGAAGCCCCCACGGAGCTGTCACTCTCAGTGAGAAAAGGAATGTGCTACCCAAACCTCTCCAGGACAAGGAAACAGGGCGGGGTTGGCAGGCTGTGCCTCAGTCAGCCATAGGTGTAGCTCAGTCTCCCTCATGGCAAGCAGGAAAGAGCCGCTAATTATAGTTGGTGCCCAGGAGGAAGGTATTGAGGGAGATCTTGGTTGCAGGCTCTCTCCGCGCCTGCGGCGCTGATAGAGGTAGCAGCTGAAAATAGACCTCTGCAAAACAGGAATTACATACACCAGACTAGGGTTGAAAACAACCAAGTGGAGTGAGGGGCACCGTTCCCCTGCCTCTCTGCCCGTTGGGCCTGTGTGGACACCAAGCTTCAGTCTCTGTCACTGGGCTGACAAATCATAGTGACTAATGTCACAGCATCTGGAGTGGATAGCAAGCCAGGGCTCATGGGGACACCCTCTGTGGACCTCCAGAAGGGCCAGGCTCTCAGAGTGCAGGTGTCAAGCTGTGGCCTCTGAGCTCCTGTTTCTTTTCTAGATCCAGGTGGATGAGAAGGGGAAGATTGTGGATGCAAGATTTAAAACATTTGGGTGCGGCTCCGCCATTGCCTCCAGCTCCTTAGCCACGGAGTGGGTAAAGGGGAAAACGGTAAGACCACTCACACATTGTATAGAACTGGTTAATCCTAGAAACATTCAAGCCCAGCAGAGGCAGAAGGATCTCTGTGAATTCTAGGCCAGCATAGTACATGTAATGAAACCTGTCTCAAAAAAAAAATTTATGGAATTAAATCACAATTAAATTAAATTAAATCAGTCACAAAACAAGAAGCAGGAAGATGAAGATGGTGAGCTCAAAGCCAGCCTGGGACACCCAGCAGGAACTTGCTCAAAAAAAGAAAAAGAAGCCATTTTTCTTTCTTGTTTTGTTTTGTTTTTTGTTTTTCAAGACAGGGTTTCTCTGTGTAGCCCTGGCTGTCCTGGAACTAACTCTGTAGACCAGACTGGCCTCGAACTCAGAAATCCACCTGCCTCTGCCTCCCAAGTGCTGGGATTAAAGGCGTGCACCACCACCGCCCGGCAAGAAGCCATTTTTCTAAGGTTTAATTTCTCTTCCTACCCAAGCGCTGGTTACATTCCTCACACTGGGAGTTAAGGACCATCTTGTTGCTTGAGGTGGTGTGTTAGTCGCTGCTGTCACCGGTTGCTGGTTCTGTAGATGAGAATCTCCACCAGGCCTCCCAGCAGCAGAACTGAGAGGCAGTCTTGGGCTTTCCCTGATGTCGCTAAGGTCACCGAGGTTCCATGAGAGCTGACGTGCAGCATTTACTGTTTCTTCTGTCCCGTCTCCTGCTTCAAACAGGAGTCCAGAAAGGCATGCACAGAAAGGCACGCAGCAAAAATGCTGCGTCAGCGGAAGGAGTTAGAAATTAAAATCTGTAAGAGCTGAACCTGCCGAGACCCTGTAGCTGTGAAACTACCCACACTAGCATGGAGTGGTGGCACAGGGCACACCAGCCAGGAGTCTCAGCTCATACGATGAAGAGGCAGGAGCCTTGTGGTGTGGAGGTCTTCCTCATCTGCTTAGCAATTTAAAGATCACCCCAGACTGCTGAGACCTGTCTTAAAGCAGTGTGTTCACCCTTTGCACCTTCACGGGACCCAGTTCAAGAAGCTCAGTCACAGACTGGCATGCTTACAGTGTCGCTGTCTCACAGAGCCTCCTCTCCACAGGAGTCAGGCATTCTCGCTGCCAAGCTCCTGGAGGCCAGGGAGACCCAGGCCTGCTTGTTCTGAGAGAAATGGCTCAAAGGAAGTTGGTTAAGAACTAACCTTGGAGAAAGGGAAAGTGAGACAGGGCACATGCATTTCAGGGTTCTGAGCTGTGATCTGACAGTAGGAAGACTCTTTCTTTAACCGTGAGGTCTCCTGATGAGGGAGCCTGGCTTTCCTTAATGCATGAGCATGCAGTCAGACCCAGGCACCTCAGGAGATGCTGCCTCCGCCCAGACTGTGCCTGCCTCCAGTGGGCAGTGGTTCTGTTCCTGCTTACCCAGCCAGGCAGCACAGGGGTGTGTACCCCACGACGGAGAGCCCTCGGTTGTGGCAGTCCTGCCCAGGAATTGTGTTAAATTACTTGGCAGGAGTTTCCTCAGACAGCCTATCCTGAGGTGTGTTCTGCCCACCCTCAGCAAGGTCAGTTACTAAAACTGCTCTTTTCCCCCTGCACCTCAGGTGGAGGAAGCCCTGACCATCAAAAACACAGACATCGCCAAGGAGCTCTGCCTGCCGCCCGTGAAACTGCACTGCTCCAGTGAGTCCGCCTGCATGCCAGGATCTGTTCAGAGTCTGCTGTTCCCACCACACGGTGGCAGGGCAGCTGAGACAGGCAGCTCTTCCACCTCCCTGCGCTTTGTTCTCCCCAGTCTGCCTTTGCTGTCTCTGTCTGAATGTGTCTGCAGTGCCTGAGACCGTGGTGCACTATCCTTGCTCTGCCGCGTGAGAAGCCTTGCACCTCGGAGCCTGCAGTCAGAGCTGATGCCTTCCCGTCCTCTTAAGCCTCCCTCAGAAAGCAAGAGTGAGAAGTCACCCTGCAGGCTCTGCTCTCTGCCACCTTCTAGCTCTCAGCTTCTGCTCCCCCGTAGCCTCAGTTCCCCCTCAGTACAAGCCTTCCAGTGGGGCTGCAGGAGGAGGTGGACAGACCAACTGCTAGCAGCAGTTCTTCTTGATTAAGACAGCTCAGCCAGCCCCTGTGACCACCAGCCTGCACTCTCTGGGACCTGATCCCTGTTGTGTCCCAGCCAGGAAGGCACGACTGTGCTAGTTGGTGTGCCAGTAGGACACTCTTGGGTCTTCCTGGCTCCAGTACCCTCCAGCTTAAAAAGGTTCTCTTCCTTAAGACCACCTCTCAGGCCAGGGAGACAGCCCAGGTAAAGGTTTGCCATCAAGCCTGAGTTAGAACCTCTAAACCTACTCCCCAAAGTTGTCCTGTGACCACCACACATGCCAACACACATGCCGGGCACGTTCACCCACTCACATACAAGCACATGCGTGTGCGTTCTAAATAGATACGTATTTATAGCAACATACAAATATACAGTGATGTATGGGTGTAAGATGTGATAAAGACTGTCCCTCCAGTGTCTAGAAATTGAAGCTGTCTACCCTTCCGTGCCTTCCAGTGCTGGCAGAAGATGCCATCAAGGCCGCCTTGGCTGATTACAAACTGAAACAAGAGTCCAAGAAGGGAGAGCCAGAGAAGCAGTGAGCCCTGGAGACACTCCAGCCGGTCACAGCAGCTGCTTCCTGCCACCCTGCACATCAAAGAAGCTACGCAAAACGCACACGATTCACCATTTGCACTGTGGCTCTGATGCAAGCAAAATGTGCCGTTGATTACGCCTGATCCTGTGTTCCTTTCAGCTCACGTGTGTCCTTAGTGCAGTTATATCTCGATTTAGTTTGTGGCCTGGGACTGAAATCAGCACCGAAGTCTTAAGCTCTGGAGAGTGACAGGGAGTTGTACCTGACCTGAGGTAGATTGCCAGCAGAGTGCCTTGTGCTGGCTGTCCGAGAGGATCTATTACTGAGTACTTAGCAAATCTGCATATATATTATAATAAAAGAGTGTAAGACAATGCTTTTCTCTACTGAACCTGATTCTCAACTCTGCAGCAGCCACTTAGCTGCTTTCAAGAGGCTGGAAGAGGTGCTGGTGTGCTTCCCTTTGGGAAGTGTGGGCAGTCCACAAGGACTGTGAGGGTCCCTGCAGTAATCCACTGTCAGTGACAGAAAGTAACCCCAGAAGCTGGCCAAGGTCCCTAACCCTGTGGACCAAGCAGGAAAGGCCTCAGGAGATTGTACTCTAGGCCCAGGGTCCCAGCCTCATTCTGGCAGAGGGTTCTAGCCTCCAGAGGCCTCCCAGGCTTAAGTGGTGGACAGTGAACCAAAGCCAACTGAAGAATCTCACCCCTCCCCTGCCCGGTGCCAGTGTGTGTTTCTCATGTTCAGCTGAACTGCACTAGCCCTCAGTTTGTTCCGGATACACACGACATGGGGAGCAGCCGCCTCTGCCCTGAGCCACCCCGGCTGCGTAGCTCAGGGAAGGGCCCTGATTTCCAGTCTTGGCATTGGAAGAAACAGCAAACTTGAAAAGCAACCTTTTTTTCTGATGGTGGCTTTGTGTCCCTGCATATGCAGGCTGACTCTTAAATCATCCTTTCTTTTAAAATATTCTGGGTTCTGGCGAAGGGCTCAGAACTTCAAAGGCCACTTCCTCTGCAGTCCGGAGGAGACCACAGGCCAGAGTCCATCAGAATCTCAAATTAGCCCCTGGGTGGAGCCATGTCAAATTGTCCTGAAGGGCGTGTTTTGGCTGTGTAACTCGGTCCCTTCCCTGTGGCAATGCCACAGTTCCCCACCCGTATTTGCGATTTTAAAATGAGACACTTCTGAATTCCACACGTAAGTTGCCGGCACGACCCAACCCTGAGAATGCGGGGTGCTGCCCACAGACTGGTCCAATTTCTGTAACGTTCTGTAAATTTACTCTGCAGCCAGATCAACTTGAGCCCCATGTACTCCTCACTGAACTAAGTAAAAGGGGTTTGTCACAGTCTCCATGTGTGTCTCGGATCCCTAAAAGAACTCTTACATGCAATGGCTGCTGGGGGGGGTGTTTGTTTGTTTGTTTTTTGCCTCAAACTCAAGTACTCCTGCCTCAGCCTCCTGAGTGTGAACTACCATGGGTAGATCACATGATGAGTTTTAAAAGATGAGTCTCTGAGATCCCTCAAGTTTTTCTCCTTTGCTGGCAGCCTCTGAGGGAGCTGCACCTTTAAACACATCAGCTGGCCCATGCTGAGCGGCCCTGAGCCTTCCCTTGTGCCCTGTCCTTCCCGGCAGATCACTATGGCTCTGAGGGCATCAGAGGCTTAACCTTGAGCTGTACACTAAGATGCATTAGGCCTCACTTGTCATGACTGTCCCCCCAACCCCCGGAATCGCCATTGTATGGCTGACCCCTCAGTCTGCTACACACTAGGCACTATGGCTAGAGGCTCAGTAGAGAGAAATCTGGGCGCTCAGAATTGAACAAAGATAAAGATGAAGAGTGGTCTCCAAGGTCACAACCCCTCCAGTTAGGAGTCAGCCCGGGCAGGACTTGGCTGTTACTGTAGCTGCCAGGAACACTTGTAGCTGCCATTGTTCCCTCTGCTGCTGCTCATAGTGACTGTCATTACCATGACAACCACTGGCTGTCTTTTATAAGAGTATGATCTCAAGGTTTCCAGCCTCTGAGGTTGTTAGCCTGGAACTACATAGTACTGCACTGTACTACACATCACCTGAGTACTATACAGTGCTACACAGTACTACACAGCGCTGCACAGTACTACACATCACCCAAGTACTATACAGTGCTACCCAGTACGACACAGCACTACATAGTACTACACAGCATTACATAGTACTACACAATACTACACAGTACTCCATAGTACTACACAGTACTAACAGTATTACACAGTACTACACAGCACTATGCAGTACTACACAGTATTACACAGTACTACACAACACTACACAGTACCACACAGTACTACATAGTACTACACAGTACTACATAGAACTACACAGTACTACACAGTACTACATAGTACTACACAGTACCACACAGTGCTGCATAACACCACACAGTACTTCATGGTGCTACATAGATTCTCCTCCCATCTAGAGCCATGCAGCCACACCCCAGTAGCATCTGTCACACTCCACCATGGCCATCCTGCTTGCCGCTGGGCTGAACACCACCCCCACGCCACCCAGCTGTCTGTGGACCGTCTTCCACCCACCTCCACCCCTGGCCTCACTTCATGGAAACCTAACTCCCAGGAGTCCCCGAAGGGAGGAACACCCTCACTACCCTGGAGCTGTGAGAGCAGACCGGTTTCTGGACCCTCCCATGCTGCCCCACGGCCTCTGACCAGTGGGGTCACAGGAAGCCCTAGCAAGGAAATGGGCTGGACCTTACTCTGCCCGAGCACAAGAATGCTCAACAGCCCTCCGCCCTATGGCCGGTGAGCAGGGCCATGGGACTTTAACAACTTTGGAAGAAAACTCAAAGGCCTGAATTCTGACCCTAACTATGACACGTTCTATATACAACAGATACGTTGGCGTATGCTTAGCCTCGCTGAGCCTCTGGTCCCTCACTGGGAGGCTGAGTCAATACTGGCTCCTAAGATACAATTGTGAGGGTTAATTCCACATAAAGTGGAAATTTCCACAGCACCGGGCATCAAGCAACCACCGGTATTAGGCACCAGCATCTCCGGCACCGGCACCACCACAGTGGCTGGCATCCTTCCTGCTACACACCGAACTGCGTGTCCTCAAATCCACTGCTTCCCTCCAAAGCAACTGTCTCTGTAGACAGCCTTGGTGTGGTAATTAAAGCTAAACAGACAAAGTGCAAAGGTGAGCCTACTCCAACTCAGATGAAAGGCAGTGTGACTATCGACACTCCAGGGAAGATTGCGGATCAGAAACTGACCCCGCACCGGAACCTGTCCCATCTCTATAAGGTTCTGTTGTGGAAGTCACAGAGTCGGCGGTACTTTGCTAGGATAGGCCAAACGCTGATACAAGTACCACTGCCATCATGATCACCACTGTCTAACGGTTTCTATCGCTGTGACAAAGACCACGGCCTTTTCCCACCACATGGAGAGAAAAGGGTTTATTTGGCTTATACTTCCAGGTTACTGTTCATCACTGACAGGAACTCAAGCAGGGCAGGAGGAACCTGGAAGCAGGAGCTGATGCAGAGGCTATGGAGGGGTGCTGCTGACTGGCTTGCTCCCCATGGCTTGTTCAGCCTGCTTTCTCTTTTTTTTTTTTTTTTTTTGGTTTTTCAAGACAGGTTTCTCTGTGTAGCCCTGGCTGTCCTGGAACTAACTCTGTAGACCAGGCTGGCCTCGAACTCAGAAATCCACCTGCCTCTGCCTCCCAAGTGCTGGGATTAAAGGCGTGCCACCACCGCCCTCCCAGCATCAGCCTGCTTTCTTATAGAACCCAGGACCACCAGCCCAGGGATCGCTCCACCCATAATGGGCTTGCCCCACCCACAATGGGCGGGGTCTTTTACATCAATCACTAATGAGGCAATCCCCACGGCCTTGCCTACAGACCAG